TCTTCCGCACCGTCACACTTTATGTCACCCCGACACGGTCTGGCGGCGCGATGTTGGTATTCCTCGTCAGGTCATCCACTTACCGGATGCAACGAGTCACGTTTGCGAGTTCTTAGAGGAGAGGGAGGGGAAGAGAAGACCTCCACTTCTTGCAGCCGCGGTGTATGAATCTCATCCATTATTCCCGCGCGTCTTTATCCCAACGCGATCGAAAGAACCGCCCGCGAATTTGACTTTATAATGCCATTCATCATTCGCCATTGAAAGATTCTGTTTAATTCAAAATTGCAAGATGTTACATCTATTGTAGGGTAGCTCGGGGGAAGGTGCCTTACTCAACTTTGAAAGGCAATATTTTTGTAATTATTAATTATGAACAAAAGAAAATAGAACAAATCGAAAGTATCGTCATTATATTTATATTTGGTTATAATTTAAAAAATCTAATTCTTTTATTATTTTAATAGTAACAAAAAATAAAAAATCCTTACAAATGTGGGTAGGATGCCACCGCTCTGTAATTTTTAAGTTTTTTTGATAATGGATATCACTAATCTATTTACTCAGTTGATTGCGTTTAGTGCAGGTCATTTAGTCGTTTCTTTTACTATATATTTTTGTATTAATTAAAATAAATTAAAAAGAAATATGTCTTACGTAATAATCAACATACTTGTAATCATATTAAGTTGTATAATACTAAATTTTTATACTTTTTGCGATTAGATTTCACAGAAAGTATCTTGATGTCGATATGTGCATATCGGGATAAGATGCTAGAACTGTCATCTATCCCCGACAAAAATGCAGCATTTTACCCCACAGTAAACATTAAATGTAAAAATTTAAAAAAATACAAAACACGTGCATATACGTTTGTTACAAATAGATTACACGATTTACTAAAAATATTAATTTAAATAAATCTGCTCTCACACTTGAGGACGTAAGTGTTTTATGTAGCAATAATCTTATATTTTAAAATACTACATATAAGATAAGATTTAAGCCATATTTTTTCATCTTACTTTGATTAATTTATAAAAATATAGCACAAAGAAACGACTCCGCACTGTCGTTCTGTCAGCGCTAAACGCGATCAGCTGATTAGTGACCCTTTATCGAAAAATTTAAAAATTGCGAAAAAGTGACATCTTACCCGACATGCCATGAATGCCATCTTCCCTCAAGTTATCCTATGTATATTATACCATGACAGTAATTGAAATCGAACAATGTATGTTTCAGCCAGCACCAATCTCGTCGGCAAATTCACGCAGAGCGTTCGAAGGATCGTCCAGGACGTGAAGGATGAAGGCACTTCCAGTAAGTCCAAGCATTATATTTTATCATACTCGTCCCGCGTAGGAGTTTAATTAAACTTTAGCTACTAGCTTGGCCGATCTATTGTTCAATAAATTTTATATGCTAACAATAAGAACGATGGAGGAATAACAACGTATTCGCGTTTTCTTTTATTTTAAGAATCTTTTTATACAGCTGATTAGTAAAATCTTTATATCTTTATTTGCATATCGATTATGGGATGTTTATATTCTTCCTCAATAATCTCGCCTAAAGAAAGAATGTATTAATAAAATAATTAATAAACTTTAAAAAAGTAATTAAAGGAAGATAAACTTGTGTAGGAAGTTTGTAAGACTCTCTTTCAAAAATATTGAAATATAGTTTGTAATATTATGACGAATTTAGAGAGAGAAAGAGAGAGAGAGAGAGAGAGAATTAAGATTTGCTTGGGGAGGAAAATTAAATTTCTAATTCTTTTTCAAATCAGTTTTTGTTTATTTTTCAATATTTAATCTTCAAAGAATTAAATTACGCGTGTCCTCGTTTCAAGTACAGCGACTTTGGTGAATCGACGATAAAGACGCTCGTACGTATCGTTTGAGAATAAACGTCTGGCAGTCTGCCAACAGCGGGGACGGTTGTTGGTTGTCCCATGAATGGAATCGAAGCGGAAACTCTTGTATTCAGTTGGGCCGAGAGTAACGGCATGTCGGTTCTCCGTCGCTATATTAGTTAAAAGGGACGGAAGCTCCGCCGTTGACGGAGAATTCCGTCACGTTCGGATTAACGCTTTCCCATCAACGAATGCGAAACTATGATTAATTCCGACGTCAACGTCGCCGTCGACGCTGAGATGCGGCGATCAGATAAATTCCTAACATATATATACGCGATAATGACACGTGTATAGGAATGTTGCCTGACGCGCGATCTCAATTTTGTTGACGGATTCTCTCGCTAATGAATTGAAAATCAATTATCACTGTTGGAGAATTTGGCTTAAATATAATATATATTGCATGCCCCAGTCTACAAATTTTTGTGTTAATTTAACATAACATAAATATGTTAAATGGTGATGCTAATATTATATTAATATTTCAACACAAAATGAATGCAAATTTTATAGTAATTTGAAATAAATTTTGTTTAAAATCAACATATTTTTAATGATAAAATTAACTCGGAAAAATGTTATTGTAGAATAAAATCAACCTTTTTTTCTATAAATTTTAACATTTAAATCCTGTCACTAATAATTAATAATACGGAACATATCTATTGTGTAAAGTTAAAAATATGTGCACATTGTGTTATTTTTACCTTTTTTTTCAGTTGTTTTAATAATTTAACATTTGAATTTAATTAATACAACAGCAATATTAAATTAAATTAACACATGAATGTGTTAAATATTTAACACAAAAATTTTAACTGGCATTTTTTTTAACGAGAAAATAAATTTTCAAACAGAGTTCTTAGCGAATTAATCGAGAATAGTCATCGTTGCCAAAAATCACAACTGTTTTATACATCTTTCCAAATAGCTTCAGTATACATTAATATTTTATTAAAAATAACATTACTTTATATTAAATGAAACAAATCTTTTTTTACGATATCTTTTTGATACATCTCATGTTGCTTGAAGTGTTTCGAGATATTGTTTGCTTCCAGAGTTTGAACTTTTCGAACTAGAAATTCGGACGCGTTTAATGAAACTGCAACGGAAACTGAGTTGCTTATCGCGTCACCCGTCGCACTCGATTTATTTATGTTGAAACTTTCGTCGCTATCGCGGTGTCGAGTTAATTGGAAATTAATTAAAGGCGACATTTGCACGCTCGATCTTCGTCGTTTCTGTCGCGTTCAATTTAACAATCCTGTTAAATCGATGATCGACACGCGTGATACGGAAAATCAATCGAAAAGAATCGTTAAATCGTATCAAAATATTAATGAATCGGGTCAAAATATCCGTATATATAAGAATTTTAAGAATCTTTTTATACAGCCGATTATTAAAATCATAATAAGACCTTTATATATCCTCGATAATCTTACTTAAAAAAAAAAGAATATATTAATAAAATAATCTTTAAAAAAGAAATTAAAGGAAGATAAACTTGTAAAGGAAGTTTGTAAGTAAATCTCTCTTTCGAAAATATTCAAATATAATTTATAATATATCATGACAAATTTAAAGGAAGAGAGAGAGAGTCAAGATTTCCTTGGGGAGGAAACTTAAATTTCTTAATCCTCAAAGAATTAAATTACGCGGAGAGAAATTCTGCCCGCACATTTCCAATATCTTTTCGGAGTTTCCAATATCGTTTTCTCCACGACGGACAAACAGGTGGGCAAACGAAGGAGGAGGTGATCGAGACGAACGAGAGGCTGAGAGTCGTCAGGATACGCCTGGACGGCAGCTACGACACCGCCAAGAGAGCCCTCGTCGATCTGATGTGCAAGTACACCGACAGCAAGCAAGTCCGTAACGTGTTCCAGCGTTACAATCTCCTCAAAGTTATGATCAAGGTAAGACAAGGAGTTACCGCGGTGTACCGTTCTGTAATTGGGTGGTAGCGCGTGCACACACACGCGTTGTTTTTGTCCCACCGACACTTTGTGCTCGACACGTGTCAGTTCCAGACCGCCGCTTTCCGTTGATGTAATTACGTAATTACGCCGCCTCTTCTCCCGGTTTATACACGTAAAACGGAGGATGAATGACAGAGGGCTCGTGCACTTCCTTTGAAACTCGCGCAATCGAGTCACCTGCTCCCGACTCTCTCTATTAAGAAATTCTTAAGGAATTAGTAATTAGTTATAATCTTGCAAATTTACATAATGAACTTTTTAAGAAGGTATATAATTATTATTAATAATTGGCTTTATCTCGGATGCATATAAAAATTAATAAATAATTCTGATAATTTTCTTGACAATATTATAATATTCCCGAGTATATATTTCTTATTTTTATTTTTTTTTAATGTATTTTTAAATTATTGTTTCATCTAATTTTTGCAAATTTCGATTAATATTATATAAAATGATATATATTCGCTACGTAATAAAAAAAAAAAAAAATTAATAAACCGTGTTTTATTCATTTTAAATTATTGTTTCATCTAATTTTTGCAAATTTTGATTAATATTATATAAATTGATATATATTCGCTACGTAAACATATTTGTCACTTTTTGAACGAGATAGGATACGAAATGGCAAACTGATAGTCGAGTAATAATAAAAAAAAAAAATTGATAAACCGTGTTTTATTTATTTTATTTTCATAATTTTTCACAAATACGTGTAAACTGATAGTGGAACTTATCGAAAAACGATCGTTCGAAGAGAAATGAAATGAAGAAACAGCAAACGAGAGTAACGTGACGGCTGTTTGTATATCTACAGTGCATATTTTGTCAATAAACAATCAACACGCGCAAAATATCCGGGGCTCGATCCGCGTATAAATCGACACGAAATTCAGCTGCGACAGCAGCGTAAACCCTGGAACAAGGGAAGAATTCGACAAACAGCCTTTTATTTTTATTTTTGTTTCTCTTTTTTTCATTTATCTTTCGAAATACACATTTATACCTACCTGTATCGCGAGATCCGGGCACGTTTATTATTCCGGGAGATAGATCGCGAGAGCAATAAATAAAGATGCACGCGCGCGCGCGCGAGAGAGAGAGAGAGAGAGAGAGAGAGAGTCCGGCGCGAAGGACGAGCGCGCGTTATCGCCACCTTCCCGTGTTTTTTTTTTCTTTTACTCTGTGTTTTTTTTTCCTTGGAGATGCATAAATAGCATCATTGATGTTTTGTTTCTGGTGTAAACTTTCGTCGCGGGAGACACGGTCGTTCGTACCGAGAGCGCGGAGTATTTTTTTTTCTTTTTTTTTCGCAGAAAAATCAACCTGGAATTAATCCCCGGCAATATGAATAAAATTGCTATCTATAAATCGCGCCGTGTGTCTCATCGATAACCATTGTATAATTTCGAGGTGTATTTCAAGTGCTTCATAAAAAGATATGGGGGAGAGAAAAGTAAACGCGCGGACCAAACAATATGTATAATGCAGATAGGATTGCCGTAAGGGCAATGCAGTAAACAGCTTGTATTATTAAAATTAGCTTGTGTTTTCGCTATCGTGGAATTAAATAGCTCGAGATTGCTCTTAGTACGAAACGATTTTAACCCCAGCATTAGGAGATTAAAATCGAATTAAATTGAAATCAAATTAAAATTTAATTGAGACAATTTTAACCGCGAAATTAAAGGAAGTGTATCCGATTCCATTTTTAGGAAGCGGACCGAGAAATAATTATCACATTTGTAATCAGCGTTAAAAAATACAAAAAATAGTGTAGTTTCAAAAAAATCGGAGGGTTCACCTATTCGGAACTTTATCCACGGTTTGTAAGTCATAATCTCAAACATAAATGCAGATTAATGACGGTACGTCTCGCGAAGGCGCGGGAGAGAAATCGATCGCGTCCTAAACCGCGTGTGATAAATGGACCGGCAATTTGTTTTCCAGAGCACGCGGATAAGAGGATCCGCTGTACAATGGCCAATCGCCTCGCGAACAAACGCGCGCTGCTTTTTTCTCGCCCCCTCGATTTTTCCCGTCTCGTCGCGACGGTAGCCCGACGAGCTACCGACACAGGTTTTACCTTTCCAGGATGTAATTAAGCTGGAGACGCAGTATTGGACGCTGGTGGATATACCGAGGCAGGAGAAGCAGGAGACCGTGCCCGCCTTCGTGTTGCGTGCCTGCTCCATCATGGAGAAGACCCATAAGAGCGGGGAAGGCGTGAAAACTTCGGCGCGTCTCGCCGAGGAGGCCGAGACCAAGAGGGAGCGTATCGAGAGACTCGAGAGTGAGTATACCAAGTACGAGTAATCGATTGCCTGTTGAGAGTAGCAATAATGGTAGTCTGCGATGCTTTTGCCGGAGGAGGAAAACTCTTTTCCATTGTCCTTCGTCGATTGTTCTCCAGATCGTTTTTCTACTTTGATTATTATCTAACTTTAGCACTCTTCCG